CTCCTAACCCACAGCCACTGGCTCCTTGCCTGCGCCAGTATTTTCACACGTGCGCTGGCCTCCCCCCCTCACACTTCCCTTTGCACGGCCTGCTCACCATGGTGCACAAGTGCAGGGGAGTGGTTCCACTCTCAGCCCCCCTCCACTGGTTTTGAGCATGGAGCTGGCCCCTGCCCCCGCGCTGCCCCCCTTGCTGTGCTGGTCACCCCCTTGTCTCTCAGGGCCACCCACGTCCCACTGCCTGGATATAAAAAGCACCCTGCTGTTGCCTGGCAACCCCACACCCTGTTGCTTGGCAACAGGTGGCATGGAGGGAGGCAGGGTCAGACACAAGCCCCTTCACCAGGGGAGGGGAGGATGTAGGATCTGAGCACCCTCCCCGTGCAAAGTTGTGCACAAAGAGACATCCCCTCGCGTGCAATCACCCCCCCGCCGGTGTGCATGGAAATTGAGCAAGGGTGTGACCCGTCAGGCGTGCAAATCCCCCTTGCACACTTCTACAGACACCTTTGGGCAGGCTTGCACACACCTGATTCAGGCACACCCATGCCCAAGCGTGCCAGCCGGTGGTCTGCCTCCAGCCTGGGCACGTTTGGCACACCTGCTCAAAAGGCTGCATGCCCGGGGCGTGTGCATGCACACTGCTGCATTCGCACTTTTGCACACCCAGTCACAAGCAGGAACTGACCTGGGGTAGTCCGCCCGTACAGCCCTGCACTTGCACCTTGTGCAGCAAGCCCCTGCATCAGTGTGCACAGGCAGCACACCTACAGTCACGCTTGGTGCACACTCAAGCACTCTTACGCACGCTCGTATGTGTGCTCACATGGTGGCATTGGCACGCCTGCTCACCAGTGTACCCCTGGGCTGGCTGAGCCCAGGCAGTGGGGCTGGAGTGTCTCTGCTCTCTCTTCCACTGCGCTGGGGGGCCGTGCAGGGGGTGCAAGGGGACACAGCCCCACCGCTGCCGGCTCAGAAGCTCGGGGGGCTGTTGGAGCGGCTTTGGGCCCCACCCCCGAAGCAGGGGTCTGAGAGGCAGAAGGTGCAGGTGCAGAGGGGTCTGGGGGACACAGCCCCACCGCTGCCG